GCTATCGAAGCATGAACCTAGCCATGTCTAGGACCACTTTCACGCCTTCCAGGTACACACACAGCATCAGTACAGCCTGCACTTAATTCTCTCCTAGCCGTCTCTTCACATTCCTTTTCCTCTCTCCTTTTCCCCTCTCCCCCCTCACCCCATCTATTTACTCATTACAACTGCTGATGGGCTTCGCGCCACAACATTCTACGTGTATCTGGACTTCTTGGAGGACCAAATACAATCAGACTGATCCAACATTTGAAAACATCTTAGGATATACATTTTGAAACAAATAGGACGTTGTGCAGTGGTCCTTCGGGATATCCGTTAAGGAACGATACAGAGAAGATTAGCATGGCCCCTGCGCAAGGATGACACGCATAAATCCAGAAATGGTCCAAATTAAAAAAAAAAAAAAAAAGGATGTTGTGCAGTGGAGCCAGGGGCTGTCTATGCTCCTGAACAACAACAAGACAATTACAAAGACTGCACCACAAACTAGTACTAAGACAATAACAACAGAGAAGACACCACAATAATACTTATTTAAATTTCAATGATAATAATAGTACCAATTAAAATAAAACAATGACAAATCAACAATCATAAAACAATATACCGCATTTTTTTATTTTTTTTTTGAGGGCAAAAGCCGTGAGGCAACCATAATAACTGGGTGGGGTTCCGGGCCGCCCGGTGGACCGGCGGGGGCCCGGGTGGGGTCCCGGGCGGCCTGGCCGGGCAGTGCACCCGGTCGGTCCTCGGGCCCTCCAGCGCACAGGGAATTTCGGGGTTTTCAGACCCCATTTCGAACGGTGGTGGCCTCCCACAGGCCTACCGGGTCCGACCGGCCCGAAAACCCGCGCCATCGGGCCCGATAGGTCTGCGGAAGCCCGTTTCAAAATTGCGGCGGGTCTGTGGCCGTCGATCCGCCTTGATCGACGGCCACAGAGCCGTCGCAAGTTTCCCGCCCAATTTCGATTGGCGGCGATCTGGCCCGCAGCCCGTCCGTGGGTGTTCGCTGGAGCTGCCCCCTTCGACCCGCCGCACGTCGCTGTTTGCTGGAGCTGCCCCATTCGCCCCTCATTCATCGTCCCCGTTCGGAGGAGCTCCTCTTCCTCGCCCGCCGCCCCTCGTCGTTGTCAGCTGTAGACGGTTGTCGTCGCCCATCGCCATTTGCAGGAACTGCCCCCTTCACCCGTCGCCGTTCGCAGGAGCGGCCGCCATTCTTCTTCTTCTTCTTCTTCTTCTTGTGTATCGTGGACGTTGGTTATGTCGCGCGAGACTCGGAAGGTAAGAAAAACAGAAGGGAGACCGTCAAGCCTTCCCCTCGTCTTCTTCTTCTTCTTCTTCTTCCCCCACAATCTTTCTTCTTCTTCATCGTCTTCCCCTTTGTCCCCCCCTCCTCTTCTTCTTCTTCTTCTTCTCCTTCTTCTTCTTGCATCAGTCGACCTTCGGCAACGGCGATCTTTATCGTCGTCGGCCTTTTGGCTGTTTGGGGCAGGGCACATCTTCGGCGACCTTAGGCAGTTGTCGCGAACGGCAAACGGAAAAAAAAAAAAAAGGCTGTCCTCCTCCCCCTCCTCCTCTCCTCTTCTCTTCTTCTTCTTCTTCTTCTTCTTCTTCTTTTTCTTCTTCTTCTTCTTCTTCCCCCACAATCTTTCTTCTTCTTCTTCTTCTTCTTCCCCTTGGTCCCCCCCTCCTCTTCTTCTTCTTCTTCTTCTTCTTCTTCATCTTGTTGTTGTTGCATCAGTCGACCTTCGGCAGTTAACGGCGATCTTTATCTTCTTCGGCCTTTTGGACGTTTGGGGCAGGGCACATCTTCGGCGACCTTAGGCAGTTGTCGCGAACGGCGAAAGGAAAAAAAAAAAAAGAAACAAAGGCCGTCCTCCTCCCCCTCCTCCGCTCCTCTTCTTCTTCTTCTTCTTCTTCTTCTTCATTCTTCTTCTTCCTCCTTCATCGTCCTCCTCCTTCCTCCTTCTTCTGCCTCATTCTTCCTTCTTCCATCACATCTTGCCATCCATCCATCCCATCTCGCCATCCATCCCTTCTTCCTCTTCCTCCTTCGTCCTTCTTCTTCCTCCTTCCTCCTTCTTCCTCCTCCTTCCTCCTTTCTCTTCCATCGCATCTCGCCATCCATCCCACCATCCCATCTTGCCATCCACCCCTTCGTCCTCCTCCTCCTTCCTTCTTCCTTCTTCTTCTTCCTCCTCCTTCCTCCTCCTCCTCCTTCCTCCTCCTTCCTCTTTCTTCCTCCCCCTTCTTCCTCCTCCTCCTTCCTCCTCCTTCTTCCTCCCCCTTCTTCCTCCTCCTCCTTTTTCCTCCTTCCGTCACATCTCGCCACCCATCCCACCATCCCATCTCGCCATCCATCCCAACAACCCATCTCGCCATCCATCCCACCATCCCATCTCGCCATACATCCCTTCTTCCTCCTCCTCCATCCTTCTTCTTCGTCCTCTTCCTCCTTCCTTCTTCTTCTTCCTTCTTCTTCTTCCTCCTCCCTCCTCCTTCCTCCATCTTCTTCCTCCTTCCTCCTTCCTCCTCCTTCCATCACATCTCGCCATCCATCCCTTCTTCATCCTCCTCCTTCGTCCTTCTTCTCCGTCCTCCTTCCTCCTCCTTCTTCCTTCTTTTTCCTTCTTCTTCGTCCTCCTTCGTCGTCCTCCTCCTTCCCCCATCTTCTTCCTCCTTCCTCCTCCTCCTTCCTCCTTCCATCACATCTCGCCATCCATCCCTCCATCCCATCTCGCCATCCACCCCTTCTTCCTCCTCCTCCATCCTTCTTTCTCCTCCTTCCTCCTTCCTTCTTCTTCCTCCTCCTCCTTCCTCCTCCTTCCTCCTCCTCCTTCCTCCTCCTTCCTCCTCTTCCTCCTCCTCCTCCTTCCTCCTCCTTCCTCCTCCTCCTCCTCCTTCCTCCTCCTCCTCCTCCTCCTTCTCGTAATGGAAGGTGTCCGGCGAGAATTGCAGGTGCAGGTAGGAGTTTGTTGGAGCGCCATGGCTCGTGGGAGCAGGGGAAAGGATGTGATTGGTGGAGAAGGAAGTAGGAGACAGTTGGAAAGGGGAGAGGGGAGCAGGAAGAAGTGTCGTCCGTGTTCTTCTTCTTGTTCTTCTCGTCAGTCTTCTTCAATCTATGTCAGTCTAAGTGTCGTCAACATGCATGCAGCAGACATCACACCAGCAGGCAACAAACATGCAGAGCCCCCAACACTGCACATATCAGATGACCTGCATTCAGCATTCAGCAGGCAACATGCATGCAGAGGGGGGGATGGGGAGCAGAGCTAGTAGTTCAAATGGACATCTTTTTTCTTCTTTAAACAGCGATTTCGTTAAAACGGACATTTATATTTTATGAATGAAATTGAAACCTACTTATTTGACCCTGGAAATGTCACCGTTTTAGCTCCTTAGGGTCCCCATTGGATGCACCTGAACCTCAGTTGAGTTCCAACGGACCCTCAGGAGATAAACGGTTATATTTTTTGGGCCTAATAAGTAGGTTTTAATTTCGTTCCAAAAAAATTAAATATCCATTTTGACGAAATTGCTGTTATTTTTTTTTCATATGCATCTAGCTGACATGCGGAGTCAAGCGATACTTTCCTTTTTCATATCCATCTGACGACTAAAGGACTGTCCTTTTGTCTTCAGCGGGATGTGTAGGAATTCACATGATGACTATCAACTTGATTCCCACGGATAAACCTTCCCAACTTCCCACCACCCCCGCACTGGTGAAGAAGCCATCTTCCTACCTGTCTGCCGGGTATGATTGATCATTCCCACCATTCATCATTTGAACTCGTCCACGCCAATAACGATTCACATACATCAATCAATTGGATTTTCACATGATGATCGACCAGTCTGCCACGTATGATTGATCATTCCCACCATTCATCGTTAATTCTGTGACTTAAACTCACATTTCCACCATCCTCCAACACCCCAATCGGTCAGCCCCGTCGTCCAACTCAGTGACACATAGTGACTGATGAAGCACTGTTTGAGAAATAGAGAAAGGGCCAGAGGGGGGGGG